GCCGGTTGGGAGCTGGGCCTGCTGGAGAAGGGTGGGTGTGTGTGTGTGTGTGTGTGTGTGTGTGTGTGTGTGTTCAAGTTTGGGTGGTTCCATGGCGGCCCCCCCCAGCCCGCTGACCTTAACCGCTCCACTTCCGCGTCGTCCACCAGGAAGTCCCTTTTCTGCACCAGTTTGTGGATCTTCTGGATTAGCTCATCCTCTCTCTGCTTCTGCACCTTGGTTTTCTCGTTTTCTGGAAAGAAGAAAATGTTGGCAGAGGAACAGGTGAACGTGCCTGGTAGAAGCCCTGGAGCCGAGGGGCCAGCCCTATGTTGGTGGCACGGTTCAATTGCAGGAATGTCCTGTGGTTTGACCAGATTTAGAATCAGCATCGTGGAAGCAGCCGTGAAGGAACCAAATGAGGGTGGAGGGAGCACTAGAACTGATTGTGATGATGTCGTTACCACTCTTTTTAAAAGCGATTTAACCATGGATTAAAATGATATCAAGAAAACTACTTTAAAAGAGAGAGAGAGAGAAAACAAACTTGACCAATGGTTACCATGGGTGAAGGAGAAAGAGTTGTTGCTTAGGGGGGCATTGGGTTTATGTTAATGGTGGTGGAATACTTTGGAAAGGGTATCAGTAATGGCTGTTCAACGTGAAGAGTATAATCAATGGCCCTGACATATATGTCGAAGTTGTAGCATTGGAGAGTGTTTTGTTGTGTGTATTTTTGCCACAATGAGAAAAGAATTCAATGAATGAGCACAAGGAGAAGAAAATGTTCTAGAACTGACTGTGGTGACGACTGTGCAACGCTTCTGGATGTGACTGAGTATTGAATTGTGCGACATGTGGAGAAAGTGGTCATGAAATGGTGTTGTTTTGTTTTTCAAAGAAAGCAAGTGCATATTGCATAATCTTCAGAAGACCTCTTTAAAGGCAGGGATGTCACTGAGGTCTCGGGTGTAACTGCGCCGAATCATGGTGTTCTCGGTCATCTGTATCCACGTGGAAGATGGACAATGGGTGAGCAAGACCGCAAACGGACTTAGGGACTTGAGTTACGGTGTTGGTGAAGAATATCGACAGGACCATGGACTTCGAGAACAAACCAACCTATCTCGGATGGAAAACAACCAGAATGCTCCTTAGAAGTCAAGATGGCAAGACATGGTAACTATCAAGGTCTAGCTGCCACACCAGTGAGAAGCTGGCAGAAATTCAAGCCGGAGCCAGACAAGGATGTGGACATTAGTGCTGATATCAGATGGGTCTTTGTTGAAAACAGACTGCCAGAAAGATGCTTACATGGACTTCCATGACTCTGGAAAGGCAGGTGACTGTGTGGTCCTGACAGATTTTGCATAACATCGCAAAGAATAAGAATTCCAGAACACTCCACTGTGCTCATGAGGAACCTTTACAGAGACCAAGAGGGGATACTGCGTGGTTTAAAATCAGGAAAGAGCCCGAAAATAAATGATCAATAATTAGAAAGTATAAAGACCTGTGAACTGTTTGCTCTTGGCGCCCTCCTAAGAGAAGGTGCCCATTCTCTTCTCAGAGAAGGTATTTTGCTAATGAAGCTTGTTTAAGTGTGCTGCTGCGTCCTGTGAGTGTTGTAATGTCCGGGCATCAGCTCAGCCCGTGTGGGGTCAGCTCAGTCCAGTGCGGCATCACCGCTTCACGGTCGATTCGTCAGTGGTAGCCGCGCCAAGACCAGGGAAAATCTAGAACCTGGACCACCGACAAGAAAGCATGGGAGTAGCGATACCAGATGGGTAGGGGGAAGGTGGGGAGAGGAAAGGAGGAACGGGGAACTGATCAACATGACCGACACATAACCACACCTACACACACCCGCCTGGGGGACAAACAACAGAAACCACGGGGGAAGGGAGACAGCAGTCTGTGTAAGATATGAAATATTAATCATTTATCATTTATCAAGGGGTCACAAAGGGCGGGGAAGAGGAGCTGATACCAACAGCTCAATAGAAAGTGAATGTCTAGAAAATGATGATGGCAACGTATGTACAAATATACATGATACAACTGATGTATGAATTATTCTAAGAGCAGTAAGAGCCCCCAATAAAGTGAGCTTTTAATCAAATAAGGAAAGATGTATGTATGTCTGCCACTGTACTTATTCCATCTGTCTGATGAGCAAATACTCGGAGAAGATGGACGGCACGAGGGACACAGCCTCTGTGAGGTGCGGACGACACCGCCTCGCTTGCTGAAAGTGGAGAGGACCTGAAGTACTGACGGATGAAGATCAGGACTAAAGTCTGCAGGAAGGACCACAGCTCAAAATAAAACACAAACCCTCCCCGTGGGACCAATCAACCAGCAGGCGTCGTGAAACGCTTGAAATTGTGCGGATTTCACCTGACTTCGATCCACCCTCAGTGCCCATGGGAGAGCAATCAGGACACGACACAGTGTGTTCTACGGGCCAATTGGGACATGTGGGCGATCGAGGATGTCGCTTTGAGGACTGAGCCTCATGCCTGACCTCTAGGGGGGGTGCCTCCAGGCATTTGACAGAGCTGGGTTTGCACACCCACAGAGGGTCTTTGGGCTGAGCCTTGCCTGGCGGCACGGCTTTCATCCCTGGCACTTACTAGCAGAGGTCTTTGGCTTTGTAACACTGGTTCCAGCAGGTTGGGAAGAAAGACTGAGCGAGTCTTGCCTAGAGGACTGAGAAACTGTCCCGATCTAAGAACCACATCCTGAATCGTTCCCGATTCCAGATCGTAACTTGTTACCTTCCTAATAACCACCCCCCCACCCACCCAACCATGAGTCTTCTCTGAGTTCCATGTGGTCCCATTGAGAGAAATCGTGCTCTGGGAGGGGCAGCTCGTGCCCGAATGTGGGAAGAGGTGGGAGAGAGGAGGTCTGTGTGCCCTCCGACTCCTGGGACCAGATGTGGGCTCTTGATCCTGATTCTTCTTCCCTGCTTGCTGGGACGCTATGTTTGCACGAGCCCGCCATATGAAATATTTACGGAAGCAGGTCCCAAAGAAATACATACTGAGTTAATGAATAAAAAGCCAATTGCATAAGGCTAGGGTGCCAATGGTAAGTGCTCTTTTTTGGGGGGTGGGGGGTATGATTCGTATTACTCATGAGCTTGGACTGTCATTGTCGCTTCATGCAGGGGCTCTCATCCTACATATGACTGACACGGAAGCCGGTCGCCATGCAGTTGCCTCTGATTCATGGTGACTCCACTGTGCTCCCTAGGGTTTCCAATGGCCAATCGTTTCCCTTCCCATGTTGATAACCACGTCTTTCTTCCGAGGCGCCTCCACTAGTGGACACAACCCTTCCATCTAGGGGTCAGCAGCCATTGGCACCCACAAGGACTCCTACCAGTCAATGTCATTACTGTCAGTTGTCATGAAGCTAATTCTGACTCCTGGCACCCCATGTGTGGAGCAGACCTGCCCCATAGGGTTTTCCACCCACAAGGACTCCTACCGGTCAATGTCATTACTGTCAGTTGTCATGAAGCTGATTCTGACTCCTGGCGCCCCATGTGTGGAGCAGACCTGCCCCATAGGGTTTTCCAGGCAGGAAGCCTCGGGATGGACTTGACCTGCTAACCTAATTAGGAGCCCCGCACTTAACCCTTTGTGCCATGCAGGACACCTGTCCCACTCACCATGCTCTTGCACTCTGCCTGGTCTAGGAAGCCCTGAGCCCAGGTGAGTCTGCATTGTGTGACCGAAGAAGAGGGCTTGTGTCCCCTGGTCCACATACCCTGTGCGCTCGCAGCTTCGGTTGTGAGCTGCCAGGGAGTCGGCCCGCTCACAGGGTCACACGGAACTAACTGCTCCAGAGGGTTCCCAGGGCCTTTTGAAGGGGAGATCACCAGGCGCCTCTGCCGAGGCACCTCTGGGTGGGTTTGAATGGCCAACCTTTTGGCTAGTGGCTGAGCGTTGACCTGTTTGCCCCACCGGCGTGTTGCTGTTCGGTGTGGCCTCACAGACATTAGAATGGAACAGTGCTGGGTCCGGGGCCATGCTCACGGCCATGGTCCTGACTGAGCCCACTGTTGCCACCACTCTGTGGCTCCTCCTCTTTTCACGGACTCCCACTGGCACCACCCAGGACTGGACAGTTCCATATGTGGGTGCCCCGCGCTTGGAGCATGCTCTGCGGCATCGATGGCTTCCACCTGCAAAGATGCCGGTCGCAGGGCCTCACCTTTCCAGTTGTGACGATCAAAACTATCTCCGTACTTGACCAAGCATATCCGAGGCACCCCCAGTTGGGAACACGGGCTTGATCCTCCCAACACCTCTCTGAGGGAGATGCTATGGTCATGTCTTGGGGAAGGTGCCCAAGGCTTCAGCGTCCCCAGCGCTATGGTGGTGGGTGAAGCCTGGTGGCTTGTCCTTGAGCGGATGTCAAGGTGGGAAGGGCCCCAGGAGTTCCCACCAATCAGAGTGACCTTTCCCTCTGCCCCTACTGAGGAGCTGATTCATGTGCTGACCCATGATTCCCTTGGTCATGGGCATTCTCCTTACATAATACTGTCCTGGATGTGTTGCCAGGAGCTACGAGCCTCCCCCTGCCCTCCCCCCGCCCCCAAAGCCAGCAAAATCCATCTAGAAACCTGGCAATAGCCCATGGCGTATAGAGAAAGATCCTTAAGAGGATGTGAGAGAAGGTGGGTGAAGGGAACGGAATTGGAGGGGATAAGAGGGATTTCCTAGGCATGGGGCTATCCTGAATTGAACTGTGTCCTCCCATCCCTGTATTCCTGCATGAAGGGGGGGAAAAATGGCAGGGGGGAGGGAAGTGAGGCAGGGGAGGGGAGTGAGGGAGCAATCAATGAATGCAGGAGGGAGGAGGGAACATTAGAACTGATGTTAATGGTAGATATACAACTCTTTTAAAAAGCAATTTAACTGTGGCAGTGTATGATATATGAATATTACATCAAGAGAACTTCTAAAAGAATAGAAAGAAAGAAACCAAACTTGACCGATGGTTACCACGGTGAAGGGGGAAGAGTTTTTGCTTAGGGAACATTGAGTTCGTTTTAATGGTGGTGAACAATTTGGAAGGGAATATCAACAATGGGTGTACCACATGAAGAGTAAAATCAATGACATTGAATTATGTATGTAGAAGTTGAATTGGAGAACATTTTGTTGTGTCTATTTTTGCCAAAATTGCAAAAAATAATAATTACCCAAATAACAGTGAGTGCAAGGAAGAAGAAAGTGTTCTCAAATTGATTGTGGTGATGATTGTACAACTCTTCTTGATATGATTGAACTATTGAGTTGTATGATATATGGATGAAGTGCCAATAAAAGTGTTTGTTTGTTTTTTAAAGAAAGAAAGATGGAGCTTCTAAATCCTGTACCTATAAATATGACCCTGTTTGGAAATGAGGGTTTTAAAAAAATTATGCTCATGAGGTAACACAGAGTAGCATGGGTCCTAAACCTAATCAATTCGGAGAGGTGCCTCCGAGCCTCACACTGGCGAGACAGCCGCCCATCTACAAGCAGAGAGTCACGAGGGTCCTTGGCAGACACGAGAAACTAGGGAGCAGCCACACAGGAACTTGGACGTGGCCCTGGTGTGAGCTTTTCTCTTCCAGAAGTGTGAGGAAAGAAATGTTTGTTCTTTTAAGCTACCGACTTGTGGTATTTTGTTGTGGTGGAGTCCTGGCACACAGAGACAGAGGCTGATGCTGGATCTGTCAGAGTCTCTGGGGAGTTAACACGGGGACCCTGGACTTCTGTGTTGGACACCTGCGTGCCTCATGGCTGTGCTTGGCCCAGGTGCTGGAGAGAGGGAGAAATGAAACGCATACAAGAGGGAGGGGGAGTGAGAAAGGAAAGAAAGGGTGAATGCCAAAGGGCCGTCTCCACTTTCTGATGCCAGATTCCAGCTCCCTGTAAGGTTGTGCTGAGCTTTATGCCCCGGCCTCCTGGAAACACCTTGGTCCTTCCAGTAATTGCCTCTTGGATAGAGTTCTGCACTAGTCCTCAGAGGGTTAAAACGTGGAAGTTGAACTGACCCCATAGTTCTCAAGCCAGCCCACAACATCCCCCACCGGGACAACCAATCATTACTCAGATTGATGGAACTCATATTGTGGGCCAGATATAAAAACTACGCACTTGCATTCGGGCACTTGTCACAATGCACTCTATCCACGCTGAGTTCAGTGTGGGGACCTCCTCAGTTTCCAAGGAAGTGAAATTGAGTCTCAGAGAGGTGAAGTGACTTGCGCAAGATCCCAAAGCCAGGAAGTCATAGAACCAAGACTGGAACTCGGGTGTGCCTGATTCAAAGTTGTGTTTGAGCTATGCGGTCAGGGAAGGCGGTGTTACAAGGAGGAGACCTGGAGGGCAGGAGATGGACTCCATCTTCCAGACCCAGGGGGGACAGGTGGGCAGGCTGGAGACTCTGAGCAGCTGCTTCACGGACGGCCAAGGTGTGAATGTTACCTGGGATGGCAACCAGGTTCTGCAGCTCCTGCTTCAGGTCCATGATGTCCTTGCAGAGCTGCATGTCGTCCATCCTGGGGAAACAGGAGCACCACGTGACAGGTTACGTTGGCAGGACACCCTAGAACCACCCCCCTTGTTCTTTAAGGAGGTGGGGGAAGGGACAAGGGAACAAGTGATCCAAAATCGATGGCGAGGAGGATGTAGGAGGCCTGGTGGGGCTTAATCAAGGGTAATGTAACCGAGAGGAACTACTGAAACCCAAATGAAGGCTGAACGTGATAGTGGGACAAGAGGAAAGTAAAAGGAAATAGAGGAAAGAACTGGGAGGCAACGGGCATTTATAGAGGTCTAAATATGGGCATGTACATATGTAAATATATTTATAGGTTTAGTATTAAGGTAGCAAATTGACATTGGGTCTCCACTCAAGTACTCCCTCAATGCAAGAACACTTTGTTCTATTAAACAGGCATTCCATGATGCTCACCTTCCCGACACGATCGCTGAAGACAAATGGGTACATAAGCAAATGTAATGAAGAAAGCTGATGGTGCCCAGCTATCAAAAAATATAGCATCTGGAGTCTTAAAGGCTTGAAGATAAACAAGTGGCCATCTAGCTGAGAAGCAACAAAGCCCACACGGGAGAAGCACACCAGCCTGTGTGATCATGAGGTTTCCATAGGATCAGGTATCAGGCATCAAAGAACAAAAAATCAAATCATTGTGAATGAGGGGGAGTGTGGAGTAGACCCAAAGCCCATCTGTAGACAACTGGACATCCCCTTACAGAAGGGTCTCGGGGAGGAGATAAGCCAGTCAGGGTGCAATATAGCACTGATAAAACATACAACTTTCCTGTAGTTCTTTAATGCTTCCTACCCACCCACCCCCACTATCATGATCCCAATTCTACCTTACAAATTCAGCTAGACCAGAGCACATACATGGGTACAGATCAGAGCTAGCAACACAGGGAATCCAGGACAAATAAACTCCTCAGGACCAATAATGAGAGTAGCGATACCAGGAGGGGAGGGGAAAGGGAAGGTGGAGGAGAAAGGGGGAACCAATCACAATGATCTACATATAACCCCCTCCCTGGGGGACTGACAACAGAAAAGTGGGTGAAGGGAGACATTGGACAGTGTAAGGCAGGGGTCCTCAAACTACAGCCCGCAGACCCCATGCGGCCCACTGAGGACATTTATCCGGCCCTCCGGGTGTTTTTTCCCCAGTTTTGTTTTTTAACTTCAAAATAAGATATGTGCAGTGTGACTAGGACTTTGTTCATAGTTTTTTTTTTTAACTATAGTCCGGCCCTCCAACGGGTCTGAGGGACAGTGAACTGGCCCCCTGTTTTAAAAGTTTGAGGACCCCTGGTGTGAGGCATGACAAAATAATAATAATTTATAAATTATCAAGGGTCCGGGAGGGAGAGAGGGAGGGGGGGGAATGAGGAGCTGATACCAAGGGCTCAAGTAGAAAGAAAATGTTTGGAGAACAATGAAGGCAACAAATGTACAAATGTGCTTGACACAATGGATGAATGTATGGACTATGATAAGAGTTGTACGAGCCCCCAATAAAATGATTTTTTTAAAAAGGAGGTGGGGGAAAAGCCTACCCATTATCCCACTTACTTAAAAATGATCCATCACTGTGAATAATAACAGCTCCTCCTAGTGCTCAGCTGTTTACTTTTATTTGAGCAAGCTCCTGCGGCATGCTCTGTTTTGTCCTTATTTCTTCTTTTTCAGTTTATGAAAGTAACAAATGCATAATCAAATTTACAACATGACATAGATCGCCAACAAGAGTCTACGCAAGCCATGGACTCATCTACCCTGAAGAGCTAGATGGGTAGATTTTACCCCACAAATGTACTCAGCAGATGGACCTTGAAAGAAAATTCCTTCTCAAAGCAAACAAACGAAAACCAAACCAACAACAAGGAAAAACCCCAGACCGACTAGCTTCCATGGAGGCCTCCCAGAGCCTCTTTCCCGGATGCGCCCTTCACATCCTGGACACAAGCTAGCCCCTTAGGTCACCCTGCTGTTGAGCAGCAAAGTGGCTCGGGAACTAACAAAGCCTGTAGGAAGGCACTGTGACCAATCAGCGGCAACTGATTGGCTAGTTAAATCATGGGGGGATCTCACCAAGTGGCACATTGATTGGGGGGGGATACAATTCAGTCCACCAGAACTAAGTTTGCATTTTCTGTGCAAAGGCTCTCAAAAAGGGTATCCTGGAAGTCACGTTTCCGCATGAACTCTCAACAGGGGTTGACAAGCAGCAGCCCCCAGGCCTCCACTTGCCTGCAGCCAGCTTTGGGGCAACCCGTGCGCTGAGCGTGGCTTACACGGAGCTCACAGTTCAGGGAAGATAAATACAGTTTCACTGGAACACAGTCAAGTCCCTCGCTGACCAGTGCTTTTCTCGATGGTTGTTGTCACACTGCAAGAGTCACAACAGAGGCCTGGGACCCTCAAAACCTAAAATCTTTATTTACTGTGTGGCACCGCAGAAAAGGTTGACTGCTCCTTGATCCTCAGAGAGAACGAATCATGGTACATAACTGGAGGCTAAGCAAGTTCCTGGAGCCGGAAGGACCCTCATTGACATAGATGAAGAAATCGAACTGAGACCGAGAGAGGGGAATATTGTCCACTGAGCCTATGATTTGCTAGTCCATCCAATAAATCAGTCATCTTAGGCACCTGCTGTGTGGTGGGTCTCCTGACTCAATTTTCACTTCTGAGAGACACCAAGAATCTAAGCAAGCCATCCAGGCCGGGGAGCCTCTTGGCATCCCATTGTCTCTACAGGAGGGCCCCAAGCAGTTTTCTTCTCTAGACTCCAGTAGGGCAGTGGGCTGTGCCTAGTGGCTCTAAGCTTGGCAGAGATTCCCTACAAGTGCGGGGTGATGCGGTCTTGCAGGCTCTGCGCCAGCTTTTGCCCTAGGGTAGCGGGTGCATCCTCCACACCACGGAAAACCCAAACCCTAACGCCCTGCCACGGAGTCAATTCCCACGCATGGCGACTCTTTGAAGGAGGTATTAAGTCTGGTTTAGTCCCTTAATTCGTGTTTTCTACACTCTATCCCTGCGAGTAGGAGCCTGCGTGGAACAGTGGGTTAGAGGTTGGGCTGCTAAGCACAGTGTCAGCAGTGCAAACCCACCAGGTGAGCCTCTGCTGCAGGTACAGAAGGACAGCCCTGGAAGCGGACAGAGGCAGTTCCACTCCGTCTGGTAGCATGTCTATGAGTCAGAACTGATTGAATTTGGCTGGCTTTCTTGATTCGGTCACTCCCTGGTGAGTGGTAAGCAAGGCTGTGAGCAGGACTGGGGACATTTTTACTTGAATCCGCCATGCTTGAGCAATAATCAGTTTTGCTGCACAAGCATGTCAACAGCTGGACCTCCTAGAACCATCTCTCACCATCCCTCCTGGGGACTGAACATGTGTTCAATCACATGTGAATTTAAGAAAAGAGCCGCTTTCAGGCCTCCAGGAAAAGTGGCAAAAATGTCCTGTGGGCTGATGAGAGTCGAAAATGGGGGACAATTTGGCATTTAAGTCAAGGGCCTTGGAAGCATTTTCCTCAATCCATTTCCAGGATTTTATAATTAAGCCCTCGGTGGTGCACTGGTTACAATGCTCGGCTGCTAACCCAAAGGTGGGCAGTTCAAACCCACCTGCCACGCTGTAGGAGGAAAGACTCGGTGACCTGCTTTGACCGCTCCTGCTGGTTCCCACATCCATTCTTGCTCCCCACCTGCTGCTTCCTCCTTTCTGAACCTCTTTTCTGATGCCCTTTTGATCTCAAAGGGTTTATTATTCTAAGGAGTGCGCACCTCATGATGCATTAACATTCCCTTTATAAACCTGTCTGTTGTTGGGCTGAAAACCCAGCGTGGGGGTGAGTTCAATCACAGACTTGGAAGGTGACTGACTAAAATCCACAGTATCAGGAGGCCCACCAGCCTCTACCTGACTAGTAACCCTCATCTCTTTCATGCCTTTCAGTTCTACTCCACATTTCTCCCCACTCTACCCAGCATCTTCGGATGGGACCCCGTCAGAGCACGTGGTGGTGGTAGCTGGGCACCATCTAGTCCTTCTCGTCTCTGGTGTGCTGCCTTCATTAGTAGTCTCTACTTTAAATCTAGGGTCTACTATCCACTGCCATGGCTACACAGAGCCCACAGGCGATATTCATGATTAAAGGGTTTATTCGTGAAGTGGGCAAGTTGAAGCACAAGTGAGCGATGCTCAGGACGCAGGTGTTTTTCAGGAGATGTTACAAAGTTCTTTCAGATCTGTTAAGAAACACCCACAGGGACACACCACTCTGCTGTAAGCCTCAACTCGAAGGCGTTCCACTCCAGCACCGTGAGTCAGCAAACCCAGCTCCCCGAACTAAGTGCCCAGAGGCACCCTACTCCAGTAGTGCACCAGCCCCACTTCCGTGGGTCAGCAAGCCCAGCTTTCCCAATTAAGAGGCACCCCGCTGCACAAAGCCCTCAGCTTTACTCGTTCCGTGGCTGGGGAGCCCAGCACTGTTTCAGAGTCTGGCTCCTGGTTCTGCTGCTGCTGCTGCTCTGATGGCAGAGCTGTCTTCTGGATCCACGAGGGATCTCGGGTCCAGAGGACGTGCTCCACTGCTGGCTCTTGCTGGTAATGAGATCCCTCCTCCTGCTTTTCCGAAGGTTCGATACACAGCAGGATGGCACTCCAGGGAATCCTGTTCACAACTACTCACAGGTGAATCCTATCCGTTTCCTCCCCTAGCCTCTTACCAGACCCACGCAGGGAAAGGCCGTTTGGTGGGAGCATTGCATAATGTCTTGCCCCTGCGTCCAGGCTGCGGTGACGGCTGATTGAGAGGGCTCCATTCGTCCCTTGGGCGAATTGTTTCCCTCTGTCTTTCACCTGTCTTTGCTCCTCATTGCTCTAAACCGGGAGAGACCAAGTGTGTTAGACAGGCTGGCACAATAAACTATCTCACCAAGAGTGATACCTCAGGTGACTGATCACGAGCTGTCAGAACCCGTCACTGCTCACGG